GAGTTGATGTCATTTCTACAAGAACAACAAAAATGACAAAACTGACTAAGACAAGTGCCTTGGTTTGCCTGTACCTGCAGCTATACAGTCCTGGAGTAAGCCATCTAAATAAACTTACACTAAGTCATCATAACTCCCTCAAAAGCATTCATTTGATTGTTTCTGTAACTAGATTTCTTTTTACAAGACGAATAAAAACTATACTTACTGCAGCTAGGATTGACCAAAGAGCAAACTGGGCTTTTGACTCTTCGTAGCTCAGCCCAAAATCACCAACTACAAGCTGAAGAATTAGCATGGTCCATGTCACTCTTTGATGTTATTAATAATTAACTGGTACCTATCTCTACCTAGAGTAAGTCCAAATGGTTTAAGTACATGTAAGGGGTGGGGTTAGGGCAGAACTCCCATGTGAAAGGGCCAGGGATGTTTGTTGGACAAGTTGAATTACACCCCTAATATCTGGGCATTAGGCTCAAACTTTATTTGACTTCTAGAAGAATACACTTTAATGAAAACAGACAGACAGAAATGGACTAGAATGATTTAAATGAAAATGGTGAGCACAATTTCATTGAATACATGTATGTTCTCCAAATGGATTCTAAAAGTAGTCAACCAGGCATGCTACAGAAACCAGAATAAGGTTTAGCTGGGCTTTTTTTTTCCTGTGAGAAAGACCTACTAACATCACAGGCTTACCTGATCTGGATCATTCCATTGCCCAGGCCCTGCTACTGCTGTGAATGTGTCCTGATTCTGGGCAAAGTGTTCCACAATTCCTAACACACTTTCCCAGGAGTCCTGCAGTTCATCAAGGCAATCGAGGAGTTCATGTTAAATAATTATATTTAGGCATTTACAGCACCATAAGCATGCTTTGTTCTGTTATATACAGGCCTGGGGCATATTTGGGGAGAGGGCAGGGGCAGGGGCAAGGGAGCTACCTGTTCCCCCATTTTGTATTTTTCTAAAACAAATTGACCAACCCTCTACAGAGTGAAATATTTTATTAGGTTTCAGTGGTGGCGGTGGGGGCGGTGGGGAGGTCTTGTGCTCTGCCACAATTCCTTTGGCCCCCTGCATCTGAATTTTCTGGATCTGCCCCTGATAAAGCAAACAAAGAAAAAGTAACAGCAGGAGAGAAGTGGAGTGACAAAACTAAATAGAGGGAATACAGTCAAATCCTTGCCTATGTACATGACTGTTGACAGAATATTCTCATAAACTGACAGTGTCTCATGGTTCCAGTCACACATAAACACTAAATATTATTTAATCTGCCAGACAGTGTATACAACCAAACACCTGTCTGGTCCAAAGAGTGTCTGCTACATAATAGGTTTCACTGAGCATTAACCTTTAAAATAAGTACAAATAAATAAACACCAAACCTGTAAATCAAGGTAGTTTCTCCAGGTGTTGCAACTTTTTGCAATAGCAGGATAGTCAGGCTGAAACAAGATAGAGAGACAATAATTACATTTTTTCAAAAATTATTTTCCTTGGAAGACAGCTGAGATCAATACAAATTATATAAAAATGGGTATGGGTTGATAATTATATTTACTGTAGTATGGTTGACATTACTTAGGGTGAAGACTGGAGCCAATTTCTGAACTTAGTTGTCCACCAGGCAAGCTGTGACTATGATGTACGAACAAAGTCATTCTCAGTAGCCTCCAAAACTTTTTATCAGTATGATCAAATTAATGTTTATTTACATGAATTTAACAATAAATTAAACATCAACTTTTGCCAAAAAGGCAAAAGAATGAGGGATCAGCACACTAGTTTTCGAAATAAGGCTCATTGAAGACCATGCATTTTTAGAAGCTTTAAATTTATTTTTAATTAGGACAATCTTAGCTTACAACTATTAGCAATAAAGGAAGCTACCTGTACATCTAGTGAAATTTAGATCACATAAACAAATTAATCAGACAAGTTTAACACATTCCGCCCTATACTTGCTTATATTTCACTCTTAGTACGTGCACTTGATGCATAACATGGCGTGCCATTGTGACATGAATTACGTGCAAAGTAAGGATGCACATAAACAATGGGCATGAACATCCTAAATAATACATTAATGCAATAATATCATCTTAAATTTCTTCAAACATAATGTCTCAGAAAACTTTACTTGCCCATCAGGCAAGCAAATTCTCCCAAAGTTAAAGCAGAAATGTAATGAAGTACAGTAAGGCCATTTTTGATGATCATCATGAAAGGCAACATCTGAGGAAAACAGCGGCAGTGTTGCTACAATACCTTTAAACCCCTTTTCATTTGGTAAAGAGGCCATTCACAGCTTAGTAAGATTGGTCTTCCTGTAGCATTGAGAGAATGTGAGAACTTGGGGTAACCCATATCAAATGTAGACGGGTTTGCGTAACAGCCATCAACCTTTAGGTAATCCACCCCCCAGCCAGCAAATGTCTGTAAGTAATAGATACATCATTATTTTTATACCTTCATACCCCTTTTGGTCTGGTAATCAGGCCATTCACAGCTCAGTAATATTGGTCTTCCTGTGGCATTAAGAGCTTGTGAGAACTTGGGGTAACCGACATCAAATGTAGCTGGTTTTGAGTGACAGCCATCAACCTTTAGATAATCCACCCCCCAACCAGCAAATGTCTGTAAGTAATAGATATAAAATTAATTAAATTATTAAGAGTAGCTGATCTGTATACAGTTGACTACAGTGGCAAGTGGAATTGACACCTTTATACATTTAGTTACTAGATTGAATTGAAATGCTCACGGGACAGGAGGCGGGAGCAGGGGGGGGGGTGGGGGAAAGGGCCTTGTTGCTTTCCACCAATATTGTAATACCTTTGCATCTTGCTCCATGTGATCAATACTTCCTGGATAACCAGCGCATGTGTGGGTGCCATAATCTGGTGGACAGACAAAGTTGAAGAGTGTATGCATTAGTGAAGACTATAAGGCATGAAAGCATGTCTGATTATATTCTTGCCAAAATAGAGACTTAGTCAGGCATTTGTCTTTGCCAAACTGACACATACCAGCATACATTCCAAGTTTCAGCCCCCTGCTATGTAACTGTCAGAAAAGGAGCAAAATGAAACATTTTTTCAGAATAACATTATTAAACTTTCAACTGTTCACAAGGTTTAATTTAAAATGTACTAAGCATTTATAAAAAGAATACATGTAAGGTTCTAGACTGTATTTCAATCCTTTGTTCATTATATTTTTCCATTTGCTTTTAATTTGTTCACAGCTTATTTGAATCCCTAACTTCACCAGAAAGACCTAAAAATCTCACATAGTCTGCTAAGGCCTTCATCCCATTTGGAAATCGTGTACTGTTAGGCTGAAGATTACCAGAAGGGTCTCGCTCCTTATTGGACCAGCAATCCTGAAATACAAAAAATAATGCAAAGTGTAAACAGTATAATTTTGAAAATTAAGAAAGGTGTCTCCTTTTCCATAGCTTCACCGTCAAAACAAAAGCACTCGCTTGCAAAATCCTGCCAGCACTCGACAAATCATCAACCCTCTTGTAGCTTCACCACTCACAGTTATAGCTTCACACCTTCACTGCCAAAACCAAAGCACATGCTATCAAAATCTCCTTTAGGAGGTATTATCCTTAAGACTGTAGAACAAACAACACTAATTTCTGGAGGCCAGGGAACTTACATCAATGCTGACATATGTATACCCAGCGTCTCGATAACCATCCTCTGCAAGACGGTCAGCCATCTGCATAATCAGCCGTTCACTGTTGACAGACAAGACTCTTTCAGCCCAAAAGAGTGATTGTTTCGTTCTCAATATGTATATAAGAGGCTTTGAACTAGCCCCCAGAGGGCAACATGCAACATATATAATAAGGGCAATTTCCTGAATGGTTGGGTGGGGTGCGTGGCAGACCATAAGTCCTATTTTGTCTCTGGTTACTTAACCTAACAGGAATAGAGAGGTCCAAGGAGATGTGCTATTCTGTATTCAGTCTACATGATTGGGCACCAAGCAAATTGACAGGCTGTGAGAATGATTTTGTGTGCCTGATTTTACCATCTTTGAAAATGTTTTCTTTTTTAAGAAGTTTTGTTCAAGACAATTTGCCTTCCTGCTGAAAACCTTAAGCAATGAAATTTTAATCACCATGATTAATCAAAATAATATCTCTTGATGGGCTAAAGACCACAGAAACCAGACTTGAGCTTAGACATGATTCCCATTTTGACCTTGAAATGAGGGGGGGGNCATCAGGACTGGTTGGCAGAATATTTTAATAAAACTCCTAAAAGAGACAACCAGGGCATGGCTTGAGCTTAATTTGACCCCTGCGTGGTACCACTTTGAAATGGGTGGACAGCATCTTTTATTACTTTTGTTGAATGGAACCCTAATTTAGCTAAAAGATACCTTGATGGCTAAAAATAGTGGTGTTTCATTGTGAACACCCTTGATGAGACCAGAATCAGTGATTTACACCCCTTAACATTCCCGACCTTTTCACGTGCGAGTTTCCCCCTTCCCCTCTCCCTCCGCCCTCCTCCCTCCTCCCCCTCCCCCTGGGTTGCCTCTATAACCATCACCAAAGAAAAGGTCAGAACAGAAACGTATATTTTCGCCATCACACATCCCGAAAACATAGGGATAAACAAACTTCATCTGCACGAAAATTCCTTCAGGTCTCTGCTTTAGTCAAATGATTTTCGTGACCCAGACCCGATCCTCCAAAAACATCTTCAGTCTTTGACTTACCTGACACAGTTATTCGGATCTT